TTTCTTTCAAACTGAGCACTACTGTGGAAAAAACCCATATTTGGAATAAGCTAAATTAAATCTGAATATTGTGTAGCGTTTGCTTATATGAAAAGTGCCCTTCCGTGTCACAATTAATGGAAACATCTATGCAGTACAAATCAACATAAGCTCACAACATTTAAATAAAAAATGAAATCCTACAATTCAAATGGAGGAGTTTTAGGGAACTGGGCTTACTTCTCATTAGATTCAGGTGTTCTTATAAATGCAGGCATCTCAGGGGTTCTTGAAAAATTCTCAGTTCTTTCTTCTGCTGTATTGGGATTATCCTCTGTTGATCTAAAAGATTCTGTGGGTATGTTCTGTTAAAAGAGAGCCCAGCATGATAATGGGCATGTTTACGGCATATACAACTTTAAAAAACCCATCAATATTCCTTTTATTCAATATACATATTGAACCAAGCTGACTCTGTGTGTGTGTGTGTGTGTGTGATAATGGGTATGTTTACGGCATATACAACTTAAAAAAACCCCATCAATATTCCTTTTATTCAATATACATATTGAACCAAGCTGACTCTGTGTGTGTGTGTGTGTGTGTAACTGTTTCAAGCTAAAGAATCTTACATTCATGAAAAATAAGGGGAATCTAATAAGAAACTAAGATCCTACACACAATAGTTATTGGTGTATCCTCTTTTATCTGTATTTTCATTGTGAATTGTGATTATAATAAGAAATTTGAAGAATTTGTAAAGTGTAAACATAGATTAGATTCAGTTCAACTTTATTAATTGTACATCATTACACAGCACTGCAAATCCCAGGCTGGAGCTGCTAGATCTAATGCTCCTAACTGCAATGGAAAGGAATATTGATTAAATACTTCCTAGTGGAATTTGGGAATATCGTCATCAAAACATGTCGCTTTCCTGTTTTATAAGTCATACTGTTCTCTTATTGCAAACTGCCCTGAGTCTTATTTAGGGGAAAGCAGCGTGAAAATCAAATTAATAAAAATAAGTTATATTTCAATTAATTGACAGATTTTCTCTTCCCAAAACAAGGTTTACATTTGGAAGTTTGATGTGGATGTCTATTATGATGCAGGTGAAATGCATCGTTCTCCACAAGTTGCACTCTAGAAGGGAGCTTTTAACAGAACTTAAAACAGAGATTATCAATAAGTAAATGCTTATGTTTCGAGCACAAGTCAAAATAACACACTCACAAAATTTCAATTTGGATGCCTTTGAAACACTACTAAAAAACTGGGTTTAGCTTGCAGAGGAAAAATTGAATTCATGCAAGATGCCTTTAATGCCTATTCTGAATGGCCCACATCCTGCACTCCATACTCAAGAACAAGTTGTATAGATAGTAAAACTCAGCAAGTTTTACTTAAACAAATAGCAAAGTGCAATACTAGCAGCCTAACGAAGACAATTTCCCCTTCTTGGTTTGGATTGTGTAATGTGTGGATTCAGAAGACTGAGAATGAATGCTTCTTGGTGGGATAATAACGTGGATTATTCTTTGATTTTAGCTGTAATGGTCTCAATGATATAAACAATCATTACGTTCCAGAATCAATGTTTTTATACTTTTAAAATCAGAGCATCCTTGCCCAAGCCTGTCCACACTTCTTCCACATTCAGCATTCAGTACTTTTCCCATGCTGTCATGGTACCTTACAGAGCTCCTATGGATTAAAAGTTGTGGCTGCTTTGCTTTGCAGTCACATTATCCATTGGATTTTCTGTCACTGAGGATCCTGCACTCTCCTTTATGTGGGGAGAAGCCTGCATAATCTACAAGTGAATTGTATTTGAATCTGGCTCTCTAATTAATGTTCTAAACCAGCTGTTTATAGTCCAGTGGCATCCTGAAAGAAAGAAGTCACTGATTTCTTAAGACATATTCTTTATTCAACTATTTGGATTTATTGTGGAATAAAAAACCTATAAAGTGTACTTGCCACCTAAAAAGAGAGTTTGATATTGGGGAAGTTCAGAGCACTTACAGATATAAAATGCAGTTTTCACTACCAGCTAAGTAATATTAATTTGGCTTTCAACAGAAATGCTTTCAGAAGTACCAAACTTTAATAATGCAAAGTCAAAATAGACACTAGAACTTGCTTGCTTCAGAACAGCAATAATTCTCTTGCTTAGTTAAGCATAGAACAGAATCTAAGGAAATCTCTTATTTATATATTTGAATTTTTAGATAATATTTTTTCCTTAAAGCTATAGAAGTCTGTCATTTACTTGGGGTTCTAGATTCAAGAACAAATTGAGCATCACAAAAGAACACATATAGATACTGTAGCCATCTGACTCCTGACAAAATTCTCTTTTCCTTCTGAAAGCTCTACCATTCATGAGTAATATTAGTATAGCATTCAAAACATTGCATTCATATCTGGGAGGCTGTTTGGTGAATTTAAATTATCACTGAGTGCAAAGTAGCTATTTGGAAGAAAAATATTTTTATGATTGAAAATACAATTCTGTGAGAAGAGAGATGGCTGTACTGAAAGCTCTCAAAACGAGAGGCCAAGCCCCGCTTTCCTATTTCTTGCCAGTAGTCTCACTGCTAACAAGATAATGCAAGTACTTCAGTGAAATAAAAAGTTATGACACAGAAATGCTTCACTTACTTGAGAGACATGTAAAGAATCTTTGGCCTTGCTTGCTTCTTCCTTATCTCCACACTCAGCATCTTTATTTGCTAAACAAAGAAGTTGTTATCATTTGTACTACAAACTGTAAAATTTCTTTTTAAAAGATAGCGTAGCTAAAAAAAACACCAATGATGTGGGAAAAGATTACTTGAAGAAGGCTTGCCAATGCTATATTGCTATTGAGAGACCTATTGAGAAGGCAAGTAACTGGTGTAGGAACAATGTGAACAGGATACTCAAGGAGTGATAGAACAGATCTTAAGAAAGAGGGGAAAAGCCAGGCTGGGAAACAAATTATACAAAGGGAAATGAAAAATGTTGTAAGAGATTTCATATTAAATAGCAGAACCTACAATCTATGACCTGAGAGGTCCTATATCTTGTGGGCACAGATCCCATACTGTAGTATCTGGGGAAGTCTAGTTAAAATCTTCACTTATGCGAACTTTACTACAGTGTGACGAGGGTTTAATCTGACAACACTATGCAAAAGGAATTGAAGCCAGACCTTGAGCCATCTGATTTTAATATTCTAAGTTTATTTGTAACTACTGCTTCACTCGTTTCTATTTTATCTTGTACTTGTACCATATGTATTTTACAAATGAATTCTGATGCCTTTACAAATTACCAACAAAACTACATTTAATGTGCATATTCTCTCAGCTCTTCTTTGCCTTTTTACAGGTTTGTTTCCTTTATTTAATGTTTGTTGTTCCTCCTTTTCAAGGGTTATATATCTGATCCTAGTCTGACCATTTAGACTCCTGAATAAGTTAACTTCCTACTGGTCCATTCTCTCTGTTTTCTTGAACTGTTTTAGACAGACTTTCAGAGGCTGACTTTCATTTTTCACCTGCAATTTTTGTCCATAATTTCTAGGTCAGTCAAATATCCCTGTACTAAAAACATAAATTGACTAAGTGACCTAAGCAGAAAGTACAAAAATGGAAATGTATTATAGTCAGGGTGAAATTTGGCACGTCATCCTTTCTCTTCTATTCAGTTATCATGTATTTTATCCAGGTATAGAATAGATTGCATTTTGATAGCACCTTCCATCCAAAAATGTCAGTGGTACTTTACCTGTCACCACAGCTTCATTTTCAAACCATTGCTTGGAAGTTGTCTGCTTCTGAGGAGCTAGCAATCTAAGCAAACAGAAATAACACTGTCTGAATTTGTCCAAAGGTGGATAATAGCTGTAATTTCTGTGTCATAACTGAAGCGGGGCAACTGCCCTGGGTGCCAACTGGAACTGGCTTTTGCCACAATCACACAACAGTGATTGCAGAGGCAGCGGCAACCGGAAGTCCTTGTGTGCGGCAGCTAGGCTGGGCACCAGCCTGCATTATTATGCTGTTGTGTAAAATCATTATAATCTATCATTTCAAGAATGAAAACTAGCTAGCTGAAAATTTACCTGAATTGCATCTGGTTTTGCATGGATGGAACTTGGGCAATTTGTGGATTGTTAGTCCTGATGGTATCATTACATTTCTAAAACACAGGAAAAACTTTGAATGGAAGGAACACACAAAATTGTTAAGTTACTGACATCCTGATTTCTCCCCAAACTGTCTAAATTCATTCTCTTTTCCTATATTAATAAGTAGAGATAAACCTCCAAAAATGTCGTTATGTCGCATGTGTTTGTATTATGTTCTTCGGTTTAAATTACCTCTAGTTTAAAATTTTTGTCTGTCCCGGGCAATGGGTTGGGTAGGCAGAGTCATATGTTACATCAACTTTGGAAAAGGGACAATGCTAGAAGACCTAGTATGATTACCAGTATTGGATAATAGCCATCTGCCATAACATTCAGTCACTCCATATTTTTGGTTGCACTTGAAATAACAGTTTAAGGAAGAAAGATTTCTTATTACCAAATTATTTCTTATTACCAGTTTCTTATTACCAAATCCTGAGCTATTTCCTGTATTATCTAGTTTTAAGAAAGTGGCACTGGGAATACTTTAAGCACTTTCAATTTAAATGAGCAAGGCCACAGAATGTATTTTACTCACGTCCTTTCTGAGAGGAGGGCTACATACCTGTGTTTCATTTTCTAGTTGGCTGGAGGAAACACTGGTAATTGCTGAATGATCCATGGGATTTTCTCTTTCTTCTCCAACTAAATTATTCAATAAACATAACTTAACATTGTTAGAGTATTAAATATACACAGCATGCCACAGTTAAATTGAACTTGTGAGCCAAACTAATCAACTTTGCTTCTTATATTGATTTGAGGGAAATGTGTCATATAATATGTGAGTATCAGCCAGTTCACTGTAGAATAATGTATGCGGGTAATGTCTGTTATATTTGCCAAACTTCACCAATGAAATATTTTCCAATATTAATGATGCATCTACCTAAAATGGGTAAAATATTATTGTGTTATTCATGACAAATACATATGATCATAAGTATGGGAGATTTTCAAAGAAAAACAAAAAATTAAATGCCCAATTTCTACAGAAAGTTTCAATCAAGCAGCCATAGTGGAGATGATGGGCCAGATTTATTGTCATGGTTCCTATATATTGATTTTGTATATAAATGTATCTAATATAAGTTAACCTTGTATAAAAAGATAATCAGAAATGCACATTATACCTGCTTTTGTCTTTTGCAGAGATTGTCTAATAGTCCTTACAGATCGGACAAATTTCTGAGGAATGGAAGGAAGATGTAATGGCTGCTGCTGCTGCTGTTTCTCTTTTACTAAATATGGATTTTCATTCTCTTCAAACACCCTAAAGAAAAAAAAATAGTAAAACATTTCTGCGATAAATGAAGGGTGACAACGATACAGCACGTGGGCTACATCCATCCCATGGGGCCCCACCATTTAGCCCCTGGTGCTGCACCTGCATCTGAGCTAACTTACACACTGCCAGATTCGTTCTGTGTGCAGGGCCAGGATGTGCACCACACACAGCACACACTCTGGGATCCACATTACACATGGCACCTGCTCTGGGACCAATGCCCCAGAAACTGGTCTGAGATAGATATGCACCACATGTGGGGAGAGGAGAGGAGAGAGGGCACGCTGTATGAGACATGGGTCCTAGAATGAGCACTGCTGCCCTAGATCTGGCATGTGAGGGGGAGAGAGCCATGGGCTCAATCCAGCCCATGGACCATCCCAAGGCCTCTCATTTGGCCTGTGGAGCTGTTCGAGTTTGACACCCCTGCTCTAAATAAAATAAATTTGCAAGGGCGTTTTCTTCCCAAGACAACTACTTAGAGGATGATCCCAAGCCCTTTAGCCTCAGAAAGCCATTAAAATTTAAGGTTTCCTTAAAGCTTTCCACACAGGGAGAAAGAGGTTTTGAAGCATTACAATCTGAAGTGGTAACGATCTCTTAATATACTAAAATAATGATCAATTATCATAGTTAGCATGTGCATACCTTAAGCAAGGGGATAATTCCAATTAAGTCAATGGTACTATTCTGATGCTTAGTGCTTTACAGGCTCAAGGGCTAAAGAACTGAATATATACCGAGTACTGTCTAATATACAAGACAAGCAAAAGTGGGGAAAGGAGACCAGAAAGTATATTTTTTTCTCATCTTTTTCACTTTTCGTAATTTCCTAGTAGCAACGGTAGATACTAAACTGGTGGAAAAAAGTGTAATTTTTAAGTTGATACTGGGTGCATCTACATGTGATATTTACTGTGGACTAGACTAATTAGCTCCATAGTAAATATCTTGCATCTACATGAGCAGCCATATTAGACTGCAAGAAACATTAACTCTGCAGCAGGATAGTACTTGTAAATACATGTTCTATCCTGCTGCAGAGTTTTTTTGACTGCGCAGCAACGCACGTGTACGCGCCGATGCAGCTGGCTAGTGCACAAGGGTGCTTTAGTGCAGGGACTGTCTGCCAGCTAACCCTTCACTGGAGTACCTATGTGCCCCAGCCAGCCAGTCCTCAACATGTTGAGGTAAGTCAGACCAGCCCCAGACAGGCAAGCTAACACCCCTGGCTCCCTGCCAGCTGAGGCTGCTCCAACCCACCTCAATGTGCAGCAGTGCCAGGTGTACATGTAAATGTGGCATCTGGGAGCAATAAACTCCAGCACAATAAGTCTCATACACAATAAGTGCTGGAGTTTATTGCTTAGCCTTAATAGCACATGTAGATGCGCCCACTGTCCCCTTAACTTAGAACAAAGATCAGTGGATGGCAAGAGATGAAAAATAAGTAGTGCTAAAGTTGCAGTTAAAATGAGAACCTGCATGAGATCTATTTAAATACATATTGCTCAGAACAGCTTGCTTAGCAAAACTGTGTTGAGGACTTTAGTCTTTAGTGAATTGAAGAAAGCTACGATGAGAATGGCTATTAGAGCTGTGCGAGGCTTTCGACAGAGCTTCAGATCCGGAGAAGTTTTGGACACTTTGGTGTCGAAAGCAGCATATCCGGATCAAAGCGCTGGCCTCTTTAGGCTTTCCGAAGCGGTTTGGAGCTTCCGAAGTGCTTTGGAGTTGCTTTGGAGATCCGGCCATAGGGTATAATGTCGAAACAATGAAATATCTATAACTTTGCGGGGTTTTTTTGTCTGATATGGATGAAATTTGCAGGAATTGTAGTCTCTGCTGAGAGAATGAAGTCTACCAAGTCTCAAAAAGATCAGTGCAGGGGTTTGGGGGGAATTGTACCCCAAATTCTTGACAGCAAAACTGATATCACATGTATGTGTTACACCACGGGGCGGGGGGGTTCAGGGGGTTCGGGGCAACTGCACTTCATGCTGCCGACAAACAAAACTCATGACATGGGTGACTGTGTGTGTTAAGGTGCAGTGGGGTGAAAGCTTCAGGGATGGTGGCCCCTGCTGTGGCCACAATGCCTGCCAGCTGTTGAGGAGATTGGTGTAGGGGGTCTGGCTTCTGGGGTCCTGCACCTCTAGCTGCTAACAGGCAAAATTTGTGACACGGGTGCTTGTGCAGCTGACTGTCTGTGTCTTGGGGCATGGGAGCCACTACTGCAGGACTGACTGCTAAGCTACTGTGTTACCAGTTATCAATCAATCATGATTTACTCAGGGACCAGATCAATACACAATAGCTAGCTAATGTAACCTGTTAATTACCATCAATTAACACCTACAAAAGCAGAGACTAAGGAGAGGAAATAATCAATACAGACAATCAACCGCCCCAAGACAGACACAGTTGCACAAGCACCCATGTCACGAGTTTTGTCCGTCAGCAGCCAGAGGTGCGGGGCCCCAGAACCCCCCTGCACCAATCTCCTCAACAGCTGGTAGGTGTTGTGACCACAGCAGGGGCCACCACTCCTGCAGCTTTCACCCTGGTTCACCTTAACACACACAGGGTCATCCACGTCACGAGTTTTGCTTGTCTGCAGCTTGAGGTACAGTTCCCCCAAAACCCTGCACCTATCTTCTTGAAACTTGGCAGGCTTTGTGGCCTCAGTAGGGGCTACTACCCCTGCAATTTTCACCCCCCTGTGTTGTAACACATACACGTGATATGAGTTTTGCTTTCAAGAATTTGAATGCCTTTTGCATTGATTTGAATGCCTTTTGCACGTGGATGTATTTTGCTGATCCTAAATAACTGTTAAATAACCATTCTGGTAATAATAATGTAGATTCAAGAAATCAAACATGGCTGAGTTGTTCTGCACATAATTATAAATGGAGAAGTTAATTAACTCAAAGTGACTAGATTAGCTGATTTCAATCTTAGACCTCTATCTGAGAAATAAAGGAAGTATCTGTTAATTTTCGTTAATGGTGTCTGAACTGCTTTAAAACCTAAAAGGTAACTACAGAAATAAACAAGGAAAATAATCAATTCATACCTCTGTACCTTTTGAAGGAGAAAGCAGCAACTAAAAAAGTATCCCACACCATTTACTTCCCTCCTCAAATCTTCAGTCTCTCTTATAGTACAAATGGTGGTGCTTGACAACTTCTCTTTAACAGCACTAACTAGTTAAGACAAAATAACTTTGGTTTGCCACTGTTTCATTTCTCTCAGTTATCCCCTTTCCCATCCTTTTCTTACCCATACTGTGTATATATGTAATGAAGAGATTACTTGGGAAACATAACTGACTAGAAGGGGCATAACTAGGCCATATACAGTAGAGATCCCCCCTGCACAAATCGCACACTGCTGGTTATGACCTAT